CTCTTTTGTAAAATTTATATATATCCATGAGACTTTAGAATATTTTCGTTATATTAATTTACGTATTTTGGAATCAGACACTTTAGTTAATTTTTAATTCATTCTAAGCACAATATATCTTAAGTTATACATAATTTTCCTAAATAGGTTTACATATCTAAGACAACACTCACCATATGCAAATAAGTAACTAAGTAAAAATTAATATATTTTAAAAATATTACAGTTGAATTCAGAGATGCAATCCAATTTATCCAAATGATAAGTAAACCAACCGTAAAACAACAAAATTGACTAGATATAACATATATAAAACTACAGTATAAGTAAAGTAATATAATACTATTAATATAAATGATGCATACAAATTATAAATTAATTTAAAATTAAAAGTAAATAATAATCAATTATTATTATATATTTAATTTAAAAATAATTATACCGGTGCATGAGCACGGGAAAATCACCTAGTATAACATTAAAGTTAAATCATATATTTAAAATTTTTATAATATTATCAAACTTTTATATTTATAAAATGAAAATCTGTGTGGGTCAAACTCTAATATCTAGTTTTTATTAAGGTTTTAGAAATATATAGTGCTATCTAGATAAATTTTAATTTCTTAAACAAAAACATTTGTATTTCAAATAAAAGATAAAGATATGGGTGATATTATAATTAAGTTATCTAAAATTTGATAACTGTTTTAAAGAATGATCCAAATAAAAAATTATACATGAAATAACTCATGCATTCGTTTTAATAATATAGATGGATAAGTATATAATATATATTTTTGTATATTGAAAAATAGAATTTCAGTATTTGTTTGAAACATAAACTATTTAAATTTTGTTTTGTCCAAAAAAAAAAAAATTTAAATTTTGTAAATAAGTATTTTCGAAAGTCCATCAATTTATATTATTATTCTCATTTAAATATAATTAGAAATATTTTAGATAATTTTAAATTTTAGTTTATAAATAAAATAATAGTTTTAATTATTTTATGATAATTAGAATTTGAATTAAAGGATTTACAAAAATACAAATTTTCCTACAATTTAAAAATATGCCAAAATTTTTTTGTTGGATTTTATATCATTTGTATTTCAAATAGAAAGATAAAAATATTTAAAAATATTATCAGTAAATTATGTAATATTTGATAATTTTGATAATTTTTTTGAGGAATAGTTCATTTTTTTTTAAAAAAATTACATATAAATTAAGATTGTGACTTCTGTTTTAATATATAAGATTGACTGGATTGTCTACTACTTAGATACTCAATAACTGTAAATGTAAATATTTTCTTATATATCAAAGAGGCTTTTTGACCCTTATCTAAGAAAACAAAATTGCTGACTAAGGCCTCGATTGGTACAGCAGATGATAAAGCAATAACATTATGCTGCAGAAGCTGTATGGTTTCATTAAAGTTTTTAATAAAGTGATTGGCAGAGCATTAGCAGTATACAATTTTAAAATTGTCATAATAGTTTGTAAACTAATATATTTCTTTTAAAATAATATATATATATTATAAATATATATAATATATTAAAAATATATATTTTTATTAAAAATAATGAATTTTATTCATTATATAAATTATATTTAAAAATGTAAAATTTATTTTAAAATAATGAATTTTATTCATTATATAAATTATATTTAAAATGTAAAATTTATTTTAAAAATATTAAATTATATTTGGATATTAACATATATTAATATTATTAAATAAAATAATTAATTATAATTTATAGATAAATTAATTATTATTTATGTATAAATTATTATTATTTATTTATTTATTGGTAGAGCATTAAATGAGTCATATATAAAATTGTCATAAAAGTTAATATATAATTCATTTATTAGTGTCTAAATCTATTATATTAAAAGAGAAGTCATGACTCACTTCATGTGTGATATTTTATTTTGAATCATATTTAAAGTTTTATAAAATTTTACATAACATTATAATATCTTTTCATATCTTTAATTTTTATTTGAAATACAAATAAATAGTTTTAATAAAATTCTAACAAAATCTTTTAAAAATCTTTTAGAATATTTTTCAAGATATAGTTTCAAAAATTATTTGATTAAAATTTTAACTATCATAAAATATAATTAAAATTTTAATTCCTTTTTAATTTATAAACAAATAATTAAAATTATATAAAATACTTTTAACAATATCCCAAAATTTTGTTTATGTATTATGTAAGTCCAACTTAATTAATTTTTACATAGATTTCAAATTTAGAAATAAAACAATATATATAAATTAGTAATCTTACATAATCATGTTTTTAAAAATTGTTACAAAAATACAAATTTATAAATTTTATATTAATAATATTATAAGTCGTATAAAAATTATTATAAAATTGGATAGCATACAGAATTAAATTATACTTTTTTTTGATAAATTTTATTATATAATTTCAAATATTTTTGTATTAAAATACCCGCACGATTGTGCGGGTCGAGATCTAGTAATATGTTTATATCGATAATATATAAATTATATTATGTTATGTTTGTTATTAAAAATAATGAATGATATATGTAACTATATAGATTATATTATATTTTAAATATGAAATATTTTTCTTTAAAAAAAAATTATAATTTTTATTCTTATTTTTAAAAATATAAATTTATATGTAATTATAAAAATGTTGTTTATATTATCAAACAAAAATAAATTAATTATATATAAATATTATTAAATTTTATATTTTCTATATGCAAATGCTCTCCCAAAAGCTCTATATGAGAGCACTGGGCAAATAGCATTTAGAGAGCATTTACATTTGGTAAATGCTTTTCTAAATGCTTCTTTGTCAAATGTTGATTGGATAATAGAGAGCATAATGCTTATACTAATGCTCTACCAATCAACCCTTAATTCATTTAAAGTGTAGACCAAAAACATATATGTCGAACTAAAAAATTATCAAGTTTAGTAATATAAATTTAATAGTTGTGATATTATTGAGAATGAGTGCCTATTATAATTGATGGTGATTTACTAGGAATGAACTCATCGAGGTTAATAATGTGTATAAGTTATAACCATCCGTATAACACGTAACAAAAATTCAAAAATCATAAATTATTTTCCAAGGGTATTTCCGGTATAACAATAACCTCTTCTCACTATAAAACCAAACATGGAGTCACCAAAACAATTCGTCCCTGAAAACCACACAAGAACTCAGGCACCACATCCTCCTCCATGGACTCTCTTCCCCAACCGCAAAACCAGTCATCTCCGGCGAAAATACTCCTCGGAAAATACGAGCTGGGTCGCCGTCTCGGCAGCGGAAGCTTCGCGAAAGTCCATTTAGCTCGTTCCATCGAAACCAAGAACGAGCTCGTGGCCGTTAAAATCATCGACAAGAAGAGAACAATCGAATCCAACATGGAGCCAAGGATCATCCGGGAGATAGACGCGATGCGTCGTCTCCGCGACCATCCCAACATCCTCAAGATCCACGAAGTCATGGCCACCAAATCCAAAATCTACCTCGTCATGGAACTCGCCGTCGGCGGAGAGCTTTTCTCCAAACTCCTCCGCCGCGGCCGTCTTCCCGAATCCACCGCGCGCCGCTACTTCCAGCAACTCGCCTCCGCGCTGCGATTCTCACACCTCCACGGCGTCGCTCACCGCGATGTGAAGCCGCAGAATCTCCTCTTAGACAGGGAAGGGAACCTCAAGGTCTCGGACTTCGGTTTATCCGCTCTGCCGGAGCATCTCCGAGACGGATTGCTCCACACGGCGTGCGGTACGCCGGCTTACACGGCTCCGGAGGTTATTTCGCGGCGAGGATACGACGGGGGGAAGGCTGACGCGTGGTCTTGTGGAGTGATACTCTACGTTCTCCTCGTTGGTTACGTTCCGTTCGATGATTCGAACATTGCTTTGATGTATAGGAAGATTCAACGGAGAGAGTATCGTTTCCCGAGCTGGATCTCGAAGCAAGCGAGATCGGTTATTTATCAGATGCTTGATCCCAATCCTGAGACGAGGATGAGTGTAGAGTCTGTTATGGAAACCGCCTGGTTCAATAAATCCTTAGCCGGTCCTGAATCGGATTGTGACATCCGAGAACCGGAACCGGTTATTGAGAAATCGGGTTTGATTACCGCTTTTGATCTTATCTCGCTTTCCTCGGGGTTAGATCTCTCCGGATTGTTTGAGGTTAAGAGAAAGAGAGAGAGGAGGTTCACGGCGAAAGTCTCCGCCGTGGAAGTAGAGGAGAAAGCGAAGGCGATTGGGGAGAAGTTAGGTTATGAAGTGAAGAAGAAGAAGAAGACGAAGATAGTTGGATTAGGAAGAGGAAGAACGGAGATAGTTTTGGAAGCGGTGGAGTTAGCCGCGAACGTTGTGGTGGTTGAAGTGAAAGTAGTCGATGGAGATGAAGAAGACTCACGGTGGTCCGATTTGATTACAGAGCTTGGAGATATAGTTCTCTCATGGCACAGTGACGTCATGTAAATAATTTGTGACGTGTTAGCTTTTTATTTTATTTTTTGCTTTGATCTGTTCAATATTGTGGCCTTCTTCATGGAACCGCGTCCTGAGATTAGAGCTGCGACCAATAATAGATTCTCGAAAATTAAAATTTTATAATCACAAATTATTTTCGGTTAGTAGTTCATAACTCGCGCGACGCAAAACTAACAACAAACTATAACTTGTGATTAGTTGAAGTTGCAGGTTGACATGTAAAAAAATATACATAGGCACAACAATCTACAAAAAAAAAGCTAAACCCTAAAGATCATCATTGCTTTGAATCCCAACAAGAGAAGATAGAGTAGAGATCCATAGCTCTAAACCTCTCTTGTTATCTTGTTTCCTCACTTCTTCTATCTTACGGACAGCTTTCTTCGACAACCCGAGTTTCATCAGAATGGTCCCTAAAGACTTAAACGTCGAGTCATCTGGTCTAACTCCAGATGAAACCATCTCTTTAAAAGTCTCAACAGCTTCTTTAAACCTTCCGTCCAAAGCGTATAAACCAAGAACGCTGTTGTAACTCAAAGGATCAGTGAGAATCTTCATCTCCCTCATCTGTTTCGCTACCTGAGTCGCTTCTTCAAACCTACCGTTCTTCTTGTACATGCATAGCATCATAGCAAAAGTGAACTCGTTTGCTTCTCCTCTCTGCTTCATGCTTTGGAATATCGCTTCTGCTTTCCCCACCATCGATCTTTCGCTGTAGAGGTTGATCATACAGTTCGATGTGTACACGTCTGGATACTGACTCTTGTTACACGATTCAAGAAGCTCTCTGTAGATAGCTTCAGCTTCGTTTAAGTACCCGACCTTAGTGTAGAGCTTAATCAGGGAACTCTGTATAACAGAGTTTCCTGTAATCCCAGCTTTTCGCATCACTTCTACATAACTCATAGCTTCTTGAACGTTTCCAGTATCCGCAAAAGCATTGATCAACACTCCATAGACAACAACATCAGGTTCTATATTGAAGTCAACCATCTCTTTGTACACTTCCTCTGCCATATTGAGCTGACCAAGTTTCACAAAGCTCGATATCACAGCGCAGTAAGGTATGCAATCGCTTACATAGCCAGTCTCTCTCATTTTCTCCAGGTAGGATCTGGCTTTGTGAGGCATGTCGGAGCTCGCAAGGATCTGGACTAGAGTGTTGTATGTACACTTATCCGGTGTGACACCATAACTCATCATGCTCGCAAATAACTCACAAGCCTTTTCACAGCTTTTACCGATTCCATACGCTTTGATCATCACATTGTACTCAATAACTGTTCTCTTATTCACTGCTTGGCAGCAGATAAACACTCTCTCAGCTTCTGATAGATATCCACGCTCGCCATATGCATCAATGTTTGCTGAATAGCCTTCAGAGCTCATTTCACCCGAAAGATGAAACCTCTGGAACCAAGACCATGATTTCTCAAGCATCCCCGCTTCTATATACATTCTAGTGAGAGCAGATTGCGTATACTCATCGATCTCAACATTGTTATCATCCATCTCCGCTACAAGCTCCTCAGCTTCTTCAACCATATGTCTTATCGAGAATGCGTAAAGGAGGGTACGGTAACTTACAGGGTCCGGTTTAAGCCCAGCGTTTTTCATTTCCTTGAAGTAGGCTCCTGCTCTTTCAATATCGTTGCCCTTCGTGTGAAGTGAAATGAGAATGTTGTATGTTCTTGTATCAGGTACACACTGAAGCTTCATCATTTTCATCAAGGAGGTCACTTCTCCAAGCTGACCGTTGTTGCCGTACATATGAATCATGGTGTTAAAAGTCACTGTGGTTGGCACAATCCCTTCTTCCAGCATCCTCTTGAACGTCTCTGAAGCCTCTTTAATCTGACCAGACTTACCATAAGTATCAATCATCGTGTTGTATGTATAAGAGCTCAAGCAAACATGTGGCTCCATCTTCTTGTCTTTGCCGTACGACCATTTCTTGAAAAAGTCCTCTGCTTTTTGAAACTCTCTTGCCTTTTTATACATTTGAAGAACAATACCCGTTGTGACTTCATCAGGCTGCATCCCTATCTTACTCATCTTCCCTAGCCAACAAAGGGCATGCACTTTAAGCCCTCCTTTGCTATAAACATCAATCAAAGTCCCATACGTTGAATTAATCGGCTTGATGCCTTTTCTGATCATTTCTTCCCATAAACTCTGCACATACCTCCACTTACGAGCTTTCCCAAGAATCCGGAGCATGATATTGTAATGAATCACGTTCAGTTCATAGCATTCTTTGCTCTTAAACCACTCGAAAATCTCCACTGCTCTCTCCCACCGTGTCTGCTCTTTCAAGATAATCGTCCTCTCCTTACTGCTAAGCCTCGCCTCCCACGGACCTAACGCATCTCCAACATTTTCAATACGATCCAGAGCCTCTAAAATAGCGGGAATACATCCTCCGTAACTTAGACCTTTCGTCGAACACCTGGTGTGCACTTTACTAACCATACCGTTCCAATTAAATTCACCATCTTTAGCCTTCTTACCAATAAACCCATCACTAATCCTTGACTTTCCGACGCGGGTGTCACTTGGGTTTACGATAAGCAAGTTTTTTCCGGAGATAACTTCACGAGTAATAGTACCGACACCTCCTCCACGGTCGCCGTGTCTGGTGATTCGCTGTGGTGGTTGTCCCTTGTCGTGACCGTCGTGGGTTCCTGGCACGTAATTCTGCTTCACTTTCTTGAAAGATGGGAGCTTGTCGAGAGGGAAGATCGGTATTGTTTTGGTGGAACAGAGAACGTGTAAGCTACTTCCATCGAGGCGAAGATTCAGCAACATTTTTCAGCTGCAACGAGCATTTAGTTAGTCACCAACAGTTTTTGCACCCGTGACGGTGTTTACTTCTGCGGCGAATGTGATTCTCTGTAGATTTCCGATTATGGTTTCGCGCGCACTCGTTGCTTTGGTCCGATTGAAAAGAGAGAGAGAAGGACACTTTGGGTTGAGTTTTGTAATTTTGCAATGTTTTAAGCCCTTAAAGAAAAGAAGATAACCGTGCTCCCTTTTCTACAAAGGAGGTCTTTTGTTTGTTTTATTTGCAAATTATTCCCGGTATTTCATTATGGGTGTGTAAAGAACCTGAGAAAGCTAATGGTAATGGATACTGCGATTCTGTCAGTACAATCCTTCCTCTACCAGAAGAATTTATATTGTGAAATATTTGTACTTCCGCTCACTTCATGAAAGCCTATTCTTGAAACTTGAGGTTTACACATCCCTTTTGTAGTTTTAAATCCCAATCTTGTAAAGGAGATTGCATCCCTTCTAAATCCATAGCTTTAGGTAGTCTTGTTTATCACTTCCTTTGTCAGTTTCACAAAAGGTTAAATCAACACCTGTTTTTGCTTTGGTTACAAATCCATTGCCTTGGTCTCTTTCACTTAGTTCAACAGTGACTTCTTTAACAAAAAAATAAAAAATCCCATAATCACCTCGTTATATAAGTTCAAGATTTCAATCGACACAACATATGCGTAAGAGATCCCGACCTAAGAGTTCACAACTTTAGACCACCTCCACTAGTGTTTCTAAAGGAGGATTTAAAACAGAAGGCAAAATAATGAAAAAGATAAAAAGAACACATAACCGATGCTTAATGTGGGATTTTTAGAGTTGGTAAATAACCCTTACGTGTCACTTTTCGTATTCAACTTCCATTTATGCCTGTCTCTCTTTTCCTTCTCCTTCGTCGCATTCTGATACAAAATCAATTTTTTTTTCTCTTCCTCCTCCTATCTTGATTACTCCATCTTCTCTCTCGATTTTGATCTGGGTCTCCTTCTTAGAATCAAGAAACCGACGTACCTCTCTTCTCTCGCTCTCCCTGATTAAACTTTCATAATCAGATAATTATCATATTTAATCATCACGATAATCGGCTCCTGAAGCCCTTTCTCTCATGTAATTCTTCTAGGCTTAGAATTGTTATTTTGCTTTGGTGGGTTTTTAATTGTATGATGATGATGATGAAGGAATTGAAATGTTTTGGGTTTGTTAGTTTTACGATTTTGATCATGATCTAAGATTGTTCATAACCTTATCTGCATGTTTGCAGGGAGTTTTTGGTTTCAGAATCATTTGATATTATTTACAAGTCTTTTGTCTTGTCCAGCTCGTTGCTCGGTGGCGCAGCGTACGATAGGGTGAACGGTCGATCTAAGAATTTAGGGTTCTTCGAGACCTGTTCTTGGATCGATCAAAAGTTTCTTTCGATAGCTTCTTGAGACCAACTTCCTGTTTTGATGAATTGAATCGAATCTAAACAAGGTTTAAAGCAAAAGCTCTTCTATTAAATCAAACGTATCTTGTTAAGAGAGATATAGCTCTCTTTATATAATGATTCTAAAGCCACAAATCAGCTTAGAATAGGAAATCAAATACTAACTAGAAAAGGAAAATTAAAAGAAAACCCAACTTAAGAAAATAAAGGAAAACAATGATAACTTGTCGTCTAAGGAATAGATGCTGCTGCATCAGGTCCCCCGAAGTGAGTAGGATTCAACCTCAAATCGGAAGGCATATCTGGAGCCACATATTTGGAGAGGTAACGCACATTAAAGACATCGGAAGTGGTGACATTTGCTGGAAGTTTGATGCGATAAACATTATCGTTAATCCGACCTACGACGCGCAATGGTCCAATTTTCTTGGATTTAAGCTTGTTATACTCATGAGATGGCATACGATCACGGGTTAAATGAACCCAAACCAAGTCACCCTCATTAAAAACCAAACGACGACGATGAGAATCAGTTGCAGTTTTGTATTTGGTGGCAGAAGCTTCAAGTTGTTGTGTTGTACGAACATGGGTTTCAAGAATAGAATCAACGAAGGCTGAGGTGTCACCATGTAACCGCGTGTGATCTGGAAGAGTGGAGAGATCAACTGGAGCTCGAGGAAGGAGACCATAAATTACCTGAAACAGACTGAGACCGGAGCTGCGATTTACTGCTCGATTA